TAACCATCTTTTTAAAGTATTGTTTTAATTGATGTATGACACACATAATAAATATGGACAATTCACAAAAGTTTAGTTTGATCAATATTTCACAGAGCGAAAACATTGATGTAGCCAACACTCAGTCATAAAATAGAATATTACTGATACCCCTCTCACTATCTAATCCATGACAATGGTTTTGCTTATTTTTAAGCTTTTTAATACTGGACTCATGTTTTTACGTTTGTGAGATTCACTCATGTTGTTATGTGTAGCTGTTGTATATTTAATTATTAATCTGTTCTTGTATTTCACTGGACAAATATGCAGTGGTTTATTAGTTAATTCTATTATTTATTAATTGATGGACATTTGGATAGTTTCCAGATATAGAATCTTAAAAATACTGCCATGATAAATCAAATTGAACAACATATCAAAAAAATTAATACACCATGATCAAGTCGGTTTCATTCCAAAGATGCAGGATGATTCAAAATATGCAAATCAATAAATGTAATACAGCATACAAAGAGAAGCATGGACAAAAATCACACGATCATTTCAATAGATGCAGAAAAGGTCTTTGATAAAATTCAACATCCTTTCTTGATAAAATCTCCTAAGAAGCTAGGAATAAAAGGAAAGTAACTCAACATAACAAAGGCTGTATTTGACAAGCCTATCAACATCATACTAAATGGGGATAAAGTGAAACCATTTCCTCTAAAGTCAGGACAAGGGTGCTACTCTCTCCACTCTTATTCAACACAGTTCTGGAATTCATACCCAGAACAACAAGAAGAAATAAAAGGAATTCAAATAGGAAAGGATGAAGTTAAATTATCCCTATTTGCAGATGACATGATCAACATAAAAGACCTAGAAAACTCCACCAAAAAAACCTTAGACATCATAAAGACCTTCGGCAAAGTAACAGGATACAAAATCAATTTACAAAAACCAGTAGCTTTTCTATATACCAGTGATGAACAGACTGAGAAAGAATTTAGGAAAACAATATCATTTGTAGTAGTCTCAAAAAATATCTAGGAATAAACTTAACAAAGGAAGCGAAATACTTCTACAATGAAAGTGATAAACTATCAAAACTAGATATTGAAGAGGACATTAGAAGATGAAAAGATCTCCTGTGTTCATGGATTAGTAAAATTAATATTGTGAAAATGGCTATACTACCAAAAGCAATCTATCTTTTCTGGGTTTTTTTCTTTTGGCAGTACTGGGATTTGAACTCAGGGACTCATCTTGCTAGGCAGGTGCTCTACCACTCGAGTCATTCTGCCAGCCCACAAGCAATCTATATGTTCAGTGGAATCCTTACAAAAATTACAATGACATACCTTTCAGAAAATGAAAAATCAACCCTAGAGTTCATATGGAAGCATAAAAGACCATGAATAGTCAAGGAAATACAAGCAGAAAGAGTAAAGCTAGAGGTATCACAATACCTGATATCAAACTATCCTACAGAACCATAGCAGTAAAAACAGCATGGTACTGGCATAAAAACAGACACAAAGACTAATGGAACAGAATAGAAGACCCAGACATAAATACACTCAGCTACAGCCATCTGACTTTTGACAAAGGCACCCAAAACATACAATGAAGAAAAGACAGTCTCTTCAACAAATGTTGCTGGAAAAACTAGATGTTTTCATGTAGAAGTCTGAAACTAGATTCATGTTTTTTACCCTCTACAAGTATCAACTCAAAGTAGATTAAGGACCTTAATATAAGACTTGAAACTTTGAAGCTTAGTGCAGGAAAGAGCAGGGAATGACTTCTTAGATGGAACTCAAATGTCTCAGCAACTGAGAGAAAGGATTGACAAATGAAGCTACATGAAACTAAAAAGCTTCTTCCTAGCAAAGGAAATGGTCACCAGGCTGAAGAGGCAGCCCACAGAATGGGAGAAAATCTTTGCCGGCTATACATCTGACAAGGGATTAATAACCAAAATTTATAGGGAGCTCACAAAACTAAACTCCAAGAAAAAAATCAATGACCTAAATGAAGAAATGAGCAAATGAGCTGAACAGAGCTTTTTTCAAAGGAAGAAGTCCAAATGGCAAAAAAACAAAAACAAAACAACAAAAAAAGAGAAATGGCCAACATCCCTGACCATAAAGGAAATGCAAATCAAAACCATGTAATGATTCACATAATTCCTGTTAGAATGGCTATTATCAAAAACACAAATAACAGTAAATGTTGGTGAGGATGTGAAGAAAAAGGAATCCTTATACACTTTGGTAAGAATGTAAAATTAGTACAACTATGGAAAACAGTATGAAGTCACCTCAACAAACTAAAAATAGAACTACCATCTGATCCAGCAATACCACTTCTAGGGATAAACCCAAAGGAATGTAAGTCAGGATACAATAAAGACACTTGCACATTCATGCTTATTGCCGCATTATTCATAATATAGGATATATATATATATATATGTATATATGTATATATATATAAATAAATATATATATAAATAAATATATATTTATTTATATATATAAATATATAAATAAATATATATAAAATAAATATATATATAAATATATATATATATACACATATATAAAGTATATATGTATATATATATATATTTATATATATATAAATAAAGTATATACATGTGTGGCATATATATATGTAATTTTATTCAACCATGAAGAAGAATGAAATTTTTGTCATTCGCAGGTAAATGGATGGAACTGGAGAACGTCTTCTTAATTGAACTTAGCTAGTTTCATAAAGACAGAGGTCAGATATTTTCTCTCATATGGGGAAGATAGATTCAATACAAATACAAGCATTATCTTGTATATATAGTCCCCCATTTCCAAAAATGGGACTATTAGCGTAGACTAAGGAGAAGGAAAAAAAGAAAAGAATGATAGATAGTGAATAATAAGGAAATACATCACATCTGTGTAGGAATAATACATGATGAAACACACTGAAAACTGCTGAACAATATAGGGTAAGGGGGAAAGGAGGGGGAGAGCAGACGAGGACATTAGATTGATTTAAGCACAATGTATTTAAGGGTAAAATACCAAGGCAAAATTCCCACTGAACAAAAGACACTTAAACAATGAAGAACAGGAAGGTAAAACAGGTCATGCTAAGGGTAGGGCACTAGTGGGAAGGGGAGATTAAATGAGGAGGGTAAAGGAGGGTGACTTTATACAGGCATGAATATAGAGCACTGAATCCTGTTGAAGTCACTTTAAGAAGAGGTATGGAGTAGGAGGGAGAATAATGGAGGGGATGAACCAAATCAGGGTATAATACATGAGTATATGGAATTGTCACAATGAAACCCCCTGTACCATATAATAAAAAATACTTAAAAGTAAAACAGTTTATAACAATTAAAAATACTGCTATGAGACCATCCTTGTACATGTGCTTGGGTGAATATAGCATTATTGTTGCTGTATTTAGGGGTGGAATTACTACATTATAGGTATGACTATGTTCAGTTTTAGAAGATAAAAACATTTACCAAGCAGTTGTAAAGATTACACTTTAATAAGCTGTGTATGAGACATTATTCCACTTCCTTGCCAACACTTGATATTATCTTCTTTTTTTCACTGCAGTCAAGTTGGTATATGTCAATTGTTTTGTACAGAAAATCTTGTCCTAGCCATTGGCATGCTTTTGGTACACTTCTGTGCTGGGTTTGAAATATCTTCTATTCAGTTTTCTTTCTTTTTGTGAGAACATTGCTCTATCCTGACTGCTTATTGAAGCATAAGCTTCTATATTTAGAAGGAACTCAGAATAGCTATATTTGTGATCATTGCCACCCAATACTTATCAATAATTTGCTAAGTGAAAGGGTAGATATGAATGCCATTACTCAGTGTAGTGTATGCAAGGGTAGACAACCTGATTTAAACCATTTAAGCAAAAAGTAACCAGTCCTTGAAGCCAAGAAGCCAGGGACTAAGTTTTGCTTTCGAAAACAAGATTACTTTTCACTGTACTTTCTTCTCAGGTGAGCTTGCTTCCTGCTGGGAACAAGGATTCTACCAAATAGCTCCAAACTCCCATCAGTAAAAATAAAAACAAAAAAGCAAAACAACAGCAAGAACAAAACTCTTTTTATCTTTCTGGGGCTTCCTAACATGAGCCTTGGAATTGAGGGTCCTTACCTATCATTGCTCTGTGGGCCTTCCTTCCTCAGCTCAGGGTGGGTATGAGGTCCCTCTGTGTCACATGCTTTTAGAAGAGCAAGGATTCTCTTAGGAAAATGGAATGCTATTAATGGAAAAAGAGACAATGGTCAGTGGCAGGCAACAGTGACAAAACAGTCACTATAAGTTAGGCTACCAAAAAACTATGCAGTTTATTTATTCCTATGGGTACTATAAGATTTATCCTTGGATTAAGCAATAATGTGGGAAAGTTACACATGTGAACCACATCATTTGAAGGCCTATGGAATTGCTTTTTTTGAACAATGCTAGGACATTCTGTTATGAGCCTGCATTGAGGGACAGTATAATGAACAGCCTTGTGGAATTCCTTATAATATTGTAGATAACACAGGCTGCACGTTATGGAATTCCATGGGAAAATTACCAGGAAGAGTTGAACTATTTCTAAATACTTTGTGATTTTATCTCATAGACACTGGGATTTTTGAAACTGATAAGGGTTTCTTCTTTACATTGCTGGAATTCCAAAGTCAATTTTATGGCTTGTTTTTAACGAAGTATACTATACTTCCGAGCATGGAATGATTTTAGTAACAGTATCAGTCCTTTATTTTTATCTTAGATAACCGTCAGTACGATCTTCCAATTCTTTTTCTTTTTAGTGTATGTATCTTTTGTAAATTTCTTTTAGTTTTAATTTGAAAAATACATTATATTGTGTGAAAAATTTATTCCATATATTGAAAAATCACCATGACATAAATAAATGTGCTTGGCTTGACCAATAAATTTAAGAAGACTTGTTTTGGATTCCAGTTTTACATGAAGGAGTTGTGAAACACTACAGAATCAGAAGACTGGATGAAGGGGGCTTTTTCCTTACTCGGAGAAAAACTTTTTCAACATTGAACGAATTCGTGATCTACTACAGTAAAACATGTGATGGCCTGTGTGTCAAGCTGGGAAAACCATGCTTAAAGGTGAAATGCTCTCAAGCTATGTTCATTTATCTTTGAAATTAACTTTTTTCTTTTCAGATAGTTGAGTATTTGTCATGTGATAACATTCAGAAAAAAATAATTTGATTACTTATATCAGGAATAGGAAAACTATGAGCCATGGGCCACTACTGTCGCACGCTCACTTGTACAAGTTTTATTGAAAGGGACGTGCTCATTTATTTGCTGTCTTTGGTTGCTTTTGTGTCATTATAGCAGTTGCATCAGTCAGGAAAGGCTTTGGCTGTTTTGTTTACTGAATGGAACCCAGTTGATGTTCAAAATATTTTTGTTAATTAAAAAAGTAAATTAGTGAGTGAACATAAAAAATGAAGAAAAATGATTTTTAAAGAATATAATTTTGTTTTTCAAAAATATGTGATATGTATAAAAGTATTATAACCAAAGAGTGTGAGAAGGACTTGTGAATGAAGTGGCATTCCAGTTAAGTCTTGATAATGGGAAGGTTTAACTGGCAAAGTGGCAGAGAGAAGTCATTTCAGACTTGTGTGAGACTTGGATGCTGATGGAATAGATGGACATTGGTGTAGGATCTGGGACAGGATCAACTTAAAGAGTTAACAGTGCATATTCTCCAACACTTTGTTTTCCATTTTAAAGTAATTTGAATATAATTTATAGTCTTTTGCTTTTAAAAGCATCATTTTCCTAAAATGTACCTAGATAATTATTTTCAACAAAAAGTTTTATCTACGTTTTAAAAAATTTCTTATAAGTATTCTCATTATTTTGCAAAACAGATACAGGTCCCAACTCCTTTTGATTTATCATATAAAACTGTGGATCAGTGGGAAATAGACCGCAACTCAATACAGCTTCTGAAGCGATTGGGATCTGGTCAGTTTGGCGAAGTCTGGGAAGGCCTGTGGAACAACACCACACCAGTAGCCGTAAAAACATTAAAACCAGGTACGAGACTATCAAAGGTATTGGTATGCATCGATTTTTATGAGCACAGTTTGCCACTGTAAATGCGCAAGAGCTTATGGGACAGCCAGTGCTGGCAGCAAGCAGATGTTGCCATCCTTCCCTCTGTCCATGGTGACCAAAACTCACAGACAGGCTTTAAGATATAAAGCCAACTCCTTGAATCAGCTCAGTTTAACCAATCCGTAACTCAGGAGTCCAGCAATGCATTTCTTCTTTAACGTTAGGATTCAGTCTTCCAGTGTCCTTCCTCCCTTTTGTTCATACCCTAAGATTAAAAAAAAAACTGAATAAAATGCTTTAAAAAATCAGATAGAACATTGGTGCTATTCAGGGAATAACTATCCTTTTAAACACGCACTGTATATGATGAAAGGTAAAATGGTCCATCAAAAGACCTCATATTTGAAAATCTAAATAAAATTCTTTTATCCATTTTTATTTTCCCTAAGTGAAAGTATACTAAAATTTAGCCAGTCAGGCATTCTTCCCTTTATTTTGGTGATGGGATAAAAGAATTTAGAGCAATTAAGCAACTTTCCTAAGACTTGGAATTCATATAATTTTGAGCCAAATTCTGAACTACTCTATGATCATTTTATTGTTTGTAAAATGGCAATAATAAGGCCAACTTAGCAGAGTTATTATGATTAAGTTAGTAGAAATGCTTTGCATAGTGTTTAGTTTATAGTAAGTGACCAATAAAATATTATTATTATTATTAATTATTATTATAGTAAGTAAATGACAGACCCATGGAAGTGACAATCTGTATAAGTGCAACATTACTGTGGTAGCCATATATCTACTTCTGATAACATCCATAAGAATGCATAAGAATAATAACCTCAGGCTAGACTACAGTTTCTTGAGGGACTTCCATTGTTTGCTTAGCAAAAAATTTCCAAGAATTCTTAGAAATTTGGAAAGCCTCCTGGTGGCAGAACTTGAGCACTTGGTATTCTCTGGCTAGCAGAATATGTAGGACCTTTGTTCCCAAACTGTGACCCAAGGCACATTTGGGCACCACAGTGAATTCACAGAGGAGCTCTGGGGTATTTAAAAAGTTAGAGATAAATATATATTGAATTTGGCACAAATTGTTATCTTTGAGTACTTTGCACTTTCTGATTTCAACAATGTTGTATTTCTTTGACTGACATCATGTTTTTGGGAAGCTGGGTTTTTGATAGTTGCTGTGATAACATGCAAGAGCCACACAAAAACCCACATGGACCAGCAAATAAGGGTAATACTACTGATCCCAAAACTTGAGAATTGTGTAGTGCCACAAAGTGCTTTTACCCTTGTATTAAGTAATTGTGATTAAGAATGAAATGTAAATTAGTTTTCCCTTTTAATTTACCCATATTACTTTTTCAAATAGCTGTAAAGCTCCTAAATAAATACTTTGTAGTTGTTTGCATCTCACCAAGTAATAAAAAGCACTATTAAGTATTTGTTTTAGCATGGGGTGTTATGAAAAACTACTGAGATACTAAGGTTTCCATGAACTGAAAATGTTGGGCTTTGGTGTCACAATTAGGAGCGTAAAGTTTGGGTTAAGATAAACCTAAGTTCTAACTTGGCTCTGTTCTCTCTTGGATAATTGATTAACCTAGGTGAATTCTCCTCTGGAAGTGGGGATTGTAATAGTTCGTAGAGTTTTATGAGGACAACTTGACTCAACATGCATAAAGTAAATGCAGTGAGTTCTTAATAAACATTAGTTTCCAAGGGCTGCTGACAGATGCATCCACAGAAGTGCAGAATTCCCAGTGCAAGTGTTCATTTCCAGCATTCTCATCTGCTGGGTGAAGCACCAGAGAGGCACTTTTATGTGGCCACATGCCACCAGAGTATTCCAGGTGAAGACAATCTTATTCCAGCACCTGAGATTTTCACAATCACCATGCTTATATGCTTTTAAATCCTACTCCTGTTGACAATTGAGAGCAAACTTTATTGTTCAACTGAATCATTCTTTTTCAAAAAGAAGCAGAGAGCTATCCTTCCTGACACTGCTGTCTAAGGAAGGCCTTTTGGAGGTCAAAAGAGGACAACAAAATCCTATTTATTATTCTAAAAAAAAGCCACAATACTTTCCAACAAGAATGATTATTATTGATTTACAGTGTAATAGCAGCTAACAGTTTTGGTGATTGGTTAAGTGTCTTCACTTCACTGGGCCCATTCATCAATCTTAGCAGCTATTTATTGCCTAACAGACTACCATGCAATAAAGATGCGCCCAAAATCAACTCCCATAGTATCTTTGACAGGAAAAAATTAATATTTAATGTTGCATTACTAACTGAGTTGAGATTGGGTCTCCCTTGCTCTGTAGCTGGTCAGCTCCAACCAGCATGGCCATGAGGCAGTGCTCTGAACAGCCTCACCCACAAAGGCACCTAACATACTGTGATTTCAGCACCTACAGATAGTCTGTTGTGGGAAGGGTGTAAGTGTCCTGCATAAATTGTCTGAATGACAGTTATAATTGCTGCTATTACTGGGCACTTCATGAGTCAGATTCTTTTTTTTTTCTTTGAAGGTAGTGTCATATGTATTCATATTTGACCATAGGCGACTTATACAACCAGTTATAACACCTATCTATACAATCAAGAACAAAATATTATGGTTTAGGTGTCTGTTTTATTCCCAGCTACATTTTTCTACTTTGATTCCAAATTTTAATCCTATCAGATTATGTAAAGTAAACCAATGTTAAAGATGGAATTGAGGGAACTCAGAAAAATATGATGGAAAAAGAATAGAGTATATTTTTCTCTTTAAGACTTGTCCCTCTCCTCTTCCTTAGTCAATTAAAAAATACTTAACAGTTACTTATTTGATTTTCCCTGAATATGCAAGCTAATAATAATAAAAATAATATTCAGCAATCATTGAATAAATATGTGCCAGGCATTGCTGTTATCCTAATAATGATTTTGTGGTGTTAGTAAGACTTAGCTATACATTATACATGAAGAAATTGAACTTCAGAGAAGTTTAACTTACTTAATATCACACAGGTCGCTAGCAGCAAAGCTAAGATTTTGTCAGAATGCAGAGCTTGATTGGATCTGGATGCTGAACTTCTAGACTCTCAAAGGGTAGACTACTTCAGTGCTTTATATGACATAATCTATAGATCATTTGTAACTCTGCTTAACTTCATGTTAAGAGGAGTCATAATCTTACACTGTCAAAATGTATCCAGTTGTGACATCTTTGGCATGGAAAGGATGATGAATGGAAAGGTCTCTGATCATTGTAGAGATGACATTTGCACTATCCCTACCGAATACTAAACATGCAAAATGACAGTGTTTCTTCGGTTACAGTCGTGCTTCTGAAACATCATATCCTGAAAGAAATAAAAGATTTTAAGATTACTGATGAAGTGTAAACTCTGGCTATCTTTCTTCCTTTTAATTTTATTTCATGTTAACTACGTGGCACATTGCATTGTGAGTAAGTTGAAACATTTAAATACGATTTACATATGACAAGGGAGAGCACATATAGATGGTATAGAAATATGCAGAAAACCCAAAACATGAAAGCGTTTGATGTCCCCACTTCAGAGGAACTAATACAGAAACCTTAAAGCGACAGAGGTTATCATGAGAAGGGGATCAGTAACCAGTGTAAAGATCAGTTAGAGATGAATCAACATGGGTCATAACACATGCACACGAAAGCAATGTTAGGAATCTCTCTGTATAGCTATCCTCAACTCAACTAGCAAAAACACCTGTCTTCCTTATTATGCTTGTCTCTTTTCTTCAACAAAATTAGTGATAAAGGCAGAACAAGACCTGCCTGGAACTGAGGGGGGGAAAGAGGGAGAGGGTGGGTTAGGGAGTAGTGGGGAGAAATGACCCAAACAATGTATGCACATGTGAATAAATGAATAATAATAATAATAAAGATTTAATTATAGATAAGTCTTCGAAATAAACTCTTGTATCACCTCCTTTATCATTTAGTTAAGTTTTTAAGACTCTGATGGCAGAGCAGATAATACAGGAGAAAATGTTGAATTATTAACTCACCTTAAACATATAAAACAAGTGAAACCCCCCCTAACTTTTGGGTATGTCCCTTGAATGTTTTCTACTTGACCTATTCCCTATGTTCCTACAGAATTAAGGACATAAATATGGCACAGTGTCATTGTTTTAGGTTTTTCTTGTTGTTGTCGTTTCTCCAGCTGTTCCCACAGTGGGTACCAGGGACAGGGCAGCTATCAGTCTTTCTTGGATTCTAAAACAAAAAGCTCTGGATGAAGTAATTAAACACTCAATATCCTCCTGTGTTCATGCTAACAGAATCTGTTCTCTTTGTGTTTGTTTTCTCAAGATGCCTACCTTGTTTTATCAATTAGGCTGTCAGTCTGTCCTTTTCTCTTCATTTTTCATATGGACTCAAATCAACCACTCTTCACCTACAGATCATAACACATAAGCTGCACACCCCTGATACAACAACATATCTGGTAATTAAGTTGCTCTGGCTGAACTGATCTATTCTTTGATAACTCAGAAGATTTGTGGCACTGATGCTTACATTACTGAGAAGCAGGAGGCAATCTTGGTGATTCCCACCAGGCTGTTGTGAGGATAGGAATGCGTCAATAACATAAAGTGATTTCCTCCTCTTCTTGTTTCAGGTTCAATGGATCCAAATGACTTCCTGAGGGAGGCACAGATAATGAAGAGCCTAAGACATCCAAAGCTCATCCAGCTTTATGCTGTTTGCACTTTAGAAGATCCAATTTATATTATTACAGAGTTGATGAGACATGGAAGTCTGCAAGAATATCTCCAAAGTAAGCTAAAGTCTTAATAAAAGGGAAAAAAAGGAATTTAGTTTAGCTAGTCCTATAAATGTCAATTTAGCAAGCCTTCTCTAACCTAAAAGATATTTACTATGTGTATATTTGTAAGAATGAATGTTGTAACATTGAAAGCCTCAACTACTATTTAATAGGATATATATTCTTTGTACTCAAAGGGAGGAAAACAGTTACATAGAAGAGCAAATTGTCCACAATAGACATATCAGACTACTTAATGTAATGTGGGAAATTGGAGAATGGATGTTAAATGTGATTCTCTGTTTCTTATACTAACTAATTGAGCATTCCTAATCATGGGGCCAATATTTTTCTATGGTGCAGAACATGAGTACATGAATACTTTTGGGGAAACAAGGAGAAAGGTATTCTAGGATTTTTTTTCTTTGTGAGTATTTGCTAATTGTGCTTGATGTTCACATAACATTAGAATTTTCATACTAAAAAGCAGAAATATACTATTGCTTTATTCCTTTCTCTGCTTCCTGCAGTTGAATAAGACTTAAGGTCACTATGAAATTCTGATGTCTATTATAAATGAATAAGTTAATAAACAATAAAATGATCAAGATTAAAATGAGATGTTCAAAGTTGACATCTAGTACTAAGTGAATAATTCTTGCTTGAGAAACAGACTTTTGCTATAATTCTTGAAATGTGAAGATGACAGAATGCATGAGAAGGTGAGAATAATGGAGCACAGATTTCACAAAGAAATGAGTATTCTCTGATTTCAGGGTGACTTGTGAAGTTGGAATTTGTGTGTGGTACTGAGATTTGAACTAAGGGCCTCCTGCTTACTAGGCAAGTGTTCTATCATGAGCCACATCCAAACCCTTTTGTTTTAGTTAATTTTCTGGTAGGATTTTGCTTTTGCTAGGAGCTGGCCTCCTACATGTCTGTGCTCTCACATATCTGGTTCTACAGACACACACTACCATTGTCAGCTTGTTTGTTGAGATAAGGTCTTGCTAACGTTTTGACTAGACTGGCCTTGAACCATGATTCTCTTGATCTTTGCCTCTCAAGTACCTCAAATTACAAGCATGTGCCACCATCCCAGATTGGAAGCTAGTAATTCTAAATTGCAAAATAAAATAAGAACAAAAAACTTAATATAGCCTATCAAAGGCTGTTAAAAACAAAAATATACTTAGCTCCCTTCATAAAGACATCAAATTCAACAGCATCAAATATGTTACCCAGCACAGAAAGACTATTTTCAGCCATCGATTCCCTTTGGCTGATTCCAAGGACAAAGTATAAGAATGATCAAGTGTCATGCATAACCATGTGTTTAGTAAAGATGCACATGAAATAGAATTTTCAATTAGCAGTGTTTGGACCTGTCATAAGCATTTAATTCATTTGTTTCATTTGGCTTTCGGGTACTTCAGTTAATATCATTTCCTCCTTTTCTGGTTAGTTTATCTCAATCCCTGTGAATTTCCTCATCTCTCAAACTTCTCAACAATATGGAGGTCTCCAGAACCTTGTTAATTTTGCTCTCGTTAATTTCATCCATTCTCATTATTTAAACTCTTGTTAATTTTGCTCTCTTGTTAATTTCATCCATTCTCATTATTTAAACGTTAATGTGTTAAGAATTCTCTTAACACATTTTGCTCTCTTGTTAATTTCATCCATTCTCATTATTTAAACGTTAATGTGTTAAGAATTCCCCCAAATTTATCCTTTTCTTACTTTAGAATAATATACCCAACTGCTTCCATGACTTCTCCATTTGGAGGCGGTAGATAACATAGGTGTACTGCAGCAAAAGCCCTCAAACCCCAGAGGTTTCACATGATAAATATTAAGTCCTCATTCCCCCATGTGCAAAATATATTGGCCAGTGACTCCAGTTTTCTTATCACCTTGGCATGGAAAGGGAACGGGACTGGTTTCACTCTGGCTCTTAAATCTTCTGATGACAAGTATCACAGGTTGCTTCTATGCCCTTTTGATTTGGTCAAAACAAATCAAATGGATAGGAAAATACAATATTCTAAAGTGCTTAAAAAGAGAAAAAATACATTTGTATGCACCCCCAATTTTATCATATATGCCTGATTAGACAGCTCAAAATGATACATCCAGATCTGATCTTGTGATCTCCCTGGTAATCAGTTCTTTTTCCTATCTTTCCTTCTGTGACAATGTCAACACTCAGGCCAGATATCTTGGAGTCATTTCTATTTCCTACATCCCATATCTAACCAACCTGCAAATCCTATTGACCTGCCTTCAAATATAAATTGACTTGCTTTCAAAGGTAAAATCCAGTATTTTACCTTTTCTCAGGGTTCTTATCCAGGTTCCAGCTATCATTGGCTCTGTCTTGGATTGTTCAATAGCATACTCATTTTTTTTTTCTTTTTGCTTCTTCTCCTATTTAGTCTTTTTTCAGCATAACAGTTGAAGAGATCCAATTAAAATACAGATTAGAGTTTATCTTTCCTCAGCCTAAAACCTTCAAAGACCCTCATTGGTTCTTATCTCTGTTTAACTAATAAAGTCTTCCTGACCTGTCTCTGCATTGTGTCTTTGGCCTTATCTTCTGTGGCTTTCCTCTTGTTCACTCTGTACCTTCTTTGCTAAACTTCTGACCCTCCAGACACCCTTTTGCCTCAGGACCTTTGCCCTTGTTTCTTTTGCCTGAATATTTTCCCTGCTGAAAGTCTTTACACAGACATTCCATTTCCATTTTGGTGAGCCTTCACTGGTCACCTGTCAAATTCTAAAATTAAATCTCCTACTGATTCTTCATGTTCCTCCTCCCTGCTTTTAGTTTGTTTTTTCTCCTTAGTTGTTAATCATCTTATATTGCATGACTTATTTATAATATTTATTTTTAGTATCTTCTAAATGTAACCCAGTGAGGTCAGAGAGGTTTGTTTTAGTACTAGAACAGTGTCTGGTATATAGAAGGTGTATATTAATTATGCACTGATGAAATGAAAAGTTGAGACCATCTTGAACCTGATAAGATTGGGATTTGAGTCAAGCTAGTTTTTAGATTTTTGGTATCAGCTTGAAAAAAAATCCCTTGAGTACATTGCACACTCTTCTGGCATTGAGGATTCCTATGGCTTATTGATGTGGTTTACCCAGCAGAGTATGAAGCATGTCATCTTCTGGGTTAGGCTGTTGCAGACAAGTTTTCTAAGGCCTTCATTTGTAACAATACTTAACAGTTAGGATTTGTAATGAATATATATTCACCATATACAATCTCTTCCCAAAAAGTATAAATTCAATAAAATGATCTTGAAATAAATCTGCCAATCTTAAGTAGCCCATCATGATATATATCTTTAAGCTGAAAGACTCTTTATTCTTATAATTGAAAATAGTTTTTTTGTTATAGATATAAATTGTCACAGGCATGTGAACCTTTACACAGGTTTTGATATATGGTGATTGCGTTAGATGTGTGCTTTGAGGTTATTTAGGCACTTCCTAGGCCACTGCACTGTTCAGGATAGAAAATGTGTATTACCAATTTCTACTAATATTGTGCCTGCCAGTGAAAACCTTTCCATATCCACTGTAATAGGATTAGATGTTGTATTTGATATTTGAAATACATATTTTCTATATAACAATTTTTGTGTCCCTAAGCTTAGCTGAATTTCTTTTTGTAATAAATTTCTCTAACATGGGTAAAGCCTGTCAAAAAACTTTAGCAATGAGGGTGATTGATGATGGTATTTCTTTTTGAAATGAAAAGAGGATAAATATCTACATTCCCTTTTATTTGATTGGACTTTTTCCCTCTTCAATAAATACTTATAGAGCATCTAACATATATCAGGCATTCAGGTACTTAAAGAGTGGCAAACAGTTTCTATTTTTATAAATCAAGTACTAGCAAGTTCATTGTTCTCACAAACAGTTCACTTTGGTGGACTGAAGTAGACAGGTGTGTTTTTCCATTGAGATACTCTCTAATGAACATAACCATTGATGTTCTTATGGGTGGAACATTATCCATTATCCCTGACTTTGGCTGCTCAAGGATTATGAGTAAGGTAAGTTAAAGGAGGCAGAATAGAACGGTTGTTGAGAGCATGAAGAAAATGTGGTATCTATACACAATGGAATTCTATGCAGCCACGAAGAAGAACGAAATGTTATCATTCGCTGGTAAATGGATGGACTTGGAGAACATCATTCTGAGTGCGGTTAGCCTGGCCCAAAAGACCAAAAATCGTATGTTCTCCCTCATATGTGGACATTAGATCAAGGGCAAACACAACAAGGGGATTGGACTATGAGCACATGACAAAAGCGAGAGCACACAAGGGAGGGGTGAGGATAGGTAAGACACCTAAAAAATTAGCTAGCATTTGTTGCCCTCAACGCAGAGAAACTAAAGCAGATACCTTAAAAACAACTGAGGCCAATAGGAAAAGGGGAACAGGTACTAGAGAAAAGGTGAGATCAAAAAGAATTAACCTAGAAGGTAACACCCACGCACAGGAAATCAATGTGATTCAATGCCCTGTATAGCTATCCTTATCTCAACCAGCAAAAACCCTTGTCCCTTCCTGTTATTGCTTATACTCTCTCTACAACAAAATTAGAAATAAGGGCAAAATAGTTTCTGCTGGGTATTGAGGGGGCAGGGAGAGGAAGGGGGCGGAGTGGGTGGTAAGGGAGGGGGTGGGGGCAGGGGGGAGAAATGAACCAAGCCTTGTATGCACATATGAAAAATAAAAGAAAAAGGAAAAAAAACAATTATATTATCATTAATAAAATTCATAAAAAAAATACCTGGATCTGAATCTGTATTCCACATATTATTACAAATTTATGTGTGATGTAGAAAACCCTGTGATATAGGGAAAATAATAAATAATACTTCATACAGTTGTCCTGAGTATTAATAGAAATAAATCATCTGGGACAGTGGTGGGAGAGGATCACATATATATGTAATTACTGTTTCTTAAAAACATTGTAATACT